ATGGCGCATCTCGTTTATGTATCGAGATGTGATGAGTCTTCACGTCCAGTGCTTCCAGCAGACGAAGAGAAGCACCATGTCCCACCGTCAGGTGAGCAGCGACAAGCCAACAGCTGCCTTGTGCTGTAGCAAAGGGTCACCATTTGCTTTCAGGAGCAGAGGTTTGGTGCAGACAGGGCTCACACCTTCCCCATGAGTGTTTGTCGCCCCCTTGGCCCCGGGGTGGGCTTGTTGCCCGCTGAGGGACCTCTCTCTGCCGTCCTGCCAGAGATACGGCTCGCCAACGGGCCCAGCCGGTGCCAGGGGCGGGTGGAGATCCTCTACAACGGCTCCTGGGGGACGGTCTGCGATGACGACTGGGACATCGTGGATGCCAACGTGGTGTGTCGCCAGCTGGGCTGCGGCCACGCCGTCGCCCTCCCGGCCGCCATGACCTTCGGCCAAGGGAGCGGACCCATCTTCCTGGACAACGTGGACTGCAAGGGCTGGGAGGCAGCCTTGAGCGAGTGCTGGAGCCACGGCTGGGGCGTCCACAACTGCTACCACTACGAGGACGTGGCTGTCGTATGCAACGGTAATGAGGTTTGGTTCCTCGGGGGTGAGGAGAGCAGGGGGGGCGCCCGCAGCTCTGCAAGCCTTGGTGCCTGCAAAGGCACTGGGAGAGCCCAGAAGTCACATCTCAGAGCCCGTTCCTCTGAGCCTGTGTCAGCCAAACCTCCTCTGCATCCTTCTTCCATCCTTCTCCTCAATCCAGGCCATCTGCCAGCTCAGCTTGCTGGTGCTCCCTAAGGTAACCAGTCTGGTTTTTGTTCCCCGTCACTCCCAGCTCAGGGACTTCACAACCTCTCCAACGTGATCCCTGGGGAAAGAGCACATGCCCACCCACGCTCCCGCCTCTGACTCAGCCGCTGCCCAACTGCTCTTTCCCCTTTTGACTCGTCTTCCTTTAAATTGCTGAGCTTGGCAGTATGAAATGTTCCTAAAGGTGAGAAAAGCAGTGGAAAAGCGCTTGAACTTGTCAAGTGAAAGTGGAACGGCTCCGTGCCGACCCCCTATATACCTTACACGTTCCTCCTGCATAGCTGCGTAGGGTTTGCTCATCAGCCGTGCATCAACGATGGGTAAACGTGAGGCTGTGCAGACCTGGAGCTCGCCCACAGCTCCAACTGCTCGGTGAATCCCCACGTCCTGCAGAAGCGGGGCTTGGACGGAGGGGGATGCTGGTTTGGCTGGTGGGTTGGACCAGCAGCAACCGGCCAAAGGCCGTGGACTGAGTAGGAGCCCTGAATCAAGGTGCTGCTGGTGAGGGAAGGTGGAAGCACTGAAGAAGGAGTTGGGGCAGAAGGGTCTGAGGGCAGAGGAGCGGCTTTGAGCTGTTAGGTGTTTGTCGCTTGGTCGGCAAAGGAGACCAGGAGGTGCTCTGGGGTGGCCTCAGAGGAGATGCAGGAGTTTGACCCAAGCACCAGGCTCCCGGGGGATGTGCTCCCACCCCTGCCACGTGGAAGTTTTCAAGAGCCAGCTTTCTGTTGGTTGTGGTTACAGAGGAAAGCACGGAGCTGGCCGGCTCCTTACCACGTTGGTGAGCTGGGTTTCCCAGGGTGTTCCCTCAGCCCCTGGGCACACGCGTGGCTGGCGATCGGACCCCTTGACTCTGCTCCCATCCAGCTCCCCACACCACCCCCAGCTAATTTCACCAGCCCAGCTGAGATGCTGCGACAAGAGAGGCAATAGGGTAGCTTGAAGCAACTTTGTTAGCGAAAGAAATATAAGTAAAACCATCAGGAGAATAAAAACATTACTGGTTATTTGTATATACGTGCCATAACTTTGAATTCAAATCCCATGATAGGTGGGAGCCTAACTCCTGACGCCTCGGTGCAGCGTTGTGATTTAGTCTGGGTCCTCACGGCACCAGCAGCCCAGGTCCCGGCTCCATCCCCCTTCCTGCGCCTACAACCGGGCAGATAGCTCTGGGCAGGGCAGGGCAGCTGCAAATCCCTTTTTCTTGCCCCGTCGGGGCTGGTTTGGTGCAACCCCTCTTGCTTTCCGCGGTGCGTGCTTGGTGCCCGAGCGGGGGCAGCGGCGGGGGGGGCAGCGCGGGGCACGGCTCCCAGACAGCGTTTGGGTGGATCGCTGCGGGCAGCAACGGGCGGCACCTCTCTGCTTCCCTTTTCAGAGCTCTCGCCCACGCAGGCCAGCGAAGGACCGACGAGCAGGACCCTCACGGCCTCGGTACAGGATGGGGAAAGTAAGCTGCTCGGCTGTTGCTTGCAGGGCCCCAGCCTGGTTGAGGGCTGGTAGAGAGCACCCATCACCCTCTACCCCTCCACGGAGCACCTCAGCCCTCTGGCTCCGAGGGGCAGACCCCGGGGGACCCCGTCCGTACCCAAACCCTATCCCAGAGGTTCACCAAGTCCCGCGTCAGCCGTGTTTCCCTAAAGCGTCACCCCTTCCCCCGTGCTTTCTGGCCCCGTTTCTTTGCCGTCAGGGACGCTGCCGGATCCGCGGCGCGTGCGGCGACCTCCCGGGGAAAGCAACATCCCTCTCACCGCGTGCTGCCACCCTCCAGGTGACGGCAGCATCCGTCTGGTGAGCGGGACCGACACCTGCCAAGGCCGGGTGGAGATCTTCTACCGCGGGAACTGGGGCACCGTCTGTGACGACGACTGGGGCCTGAGCGACGCCAGCGTGGTGTGCAAGCAGGTGGGCTGTGGCCAAGCCCTGGATTACAAAAGCAACGCCTATTTCGGCTACGGCACGGGACGCATCCTCCTGGACAACGTCAACTGCGACGGCAGCGAGCCCTTCCTCTCCGCCTGCTACAGCCTCGGCTGGGGCATCCATAACTGCGGCCACCACGAGGATGCTGGGGTCATCTGCACAGGTACCGGGGCAGAGCATCGCCTTCGGGGCTGTCCCCTGGGGGGGGCCAAAAAATCCAGGGACATCCTGGTCTCCAAGGAGAAATGGCCTCAGAGAGGTGCTGACACGGCCAAGGGAGCCGGGCCCTGCGCTGCTGGAGCATCCAGTCTCTCCTTATCCGCCGTCGGGTGCTCCGGAGCAGGCTGCGACACCGCGCCGCCGAGAGCCTGGGGCACGGCCCGAGCAGCGATTTGCAAGGGAAATGCATGTGCTGGCCTCCCATTTCCCTGCTCCGCCGGCTGGAAAACAAGCTGCCCGCGTCCGCACGGAGCGAGCGGCTGCCAGGGGCACGGTGCCAGCCCCAGCCTGCCTCCCCTTCCCCGCTAAATGATGTATTTCTGCCATTCTCCACTGATTACCATTTATAATGTTAATAATCCCCCTGAATTCCCTCATTATCATGGTTAATGACAGGAGTGCTAAGTGCCAGTGCTTTCCCTTTCGCACTATTAACGAACAAAAAGGGCTGATGTGGGAGAAAAGGGACAATTTTTTCAGGCTGGTCCTTTCCTCCCTAAACGTTCCCGTCCCCTCTGGCTCCTCGCCTGGGCACGGAGCCGATGGCACCACCACCACGCACAGCCCTTGCTCGGTGGGGCAGGGGAAAAAACGAAGTTTCAGAGCTAACGAGCCCTGCCTGGCAAACCTCCCAGGTACACGGGAGAAGCGAGGGACCCCCCAGCGCTGCCGGTGGGACCCCGGCGCTTGGGTTGGGGTGGAGAAGCTCCACGTCCTGCGCAGGGGCGGCGGGGACGTGGGGATGGACGCGGTCCCCCTCCGTCCCCACCATCCTCGAGCACCCCAGGTCTGCCTGCCGGAGTCAGCAAGTTTTGGGGCTTCTGCCCGTGTGTCACCTCTGTCCCTCTGTGTCACCGCAGGGCTGGACACGTCCACCATCACGTCCTTCACCACCTCGGTGGCCCCGGACTACGAAGAGACGCTCACTGCCACAGCCACAGGTAAGAAGGTCGGCAGCCACCCGGCTCCCCCCTGCACCGCAGCCGGGGCTGGGACACACACACACACACACACACACACACACACACACACGATTGTGCCTTCTGTGTCCCCCCTGTGACCCCAGCACGGTCACCTCGGGGTCCTGCCACAATGTCGGGGGGTGACATTGCCCACGGCAAGAGCTCGCCGTGGGGCTGCTGCGGCGCTTGAGGCCGCTGGCACCGATCGGAGCAGGGGCAGCGGGTGCTGGAGCTGGACCCACCACCCGCCCCCCCCCCCCCCAAACGCCTGCGTGTCCCCACACTTGTCCCAGCAGCAACAGACGGCGGGGACCAGCCCTCCCAGGCCACCGAGGTGGCCACCACCGCTCTCCTTACCATCGAGCAGGAAAGTAAGTGTGCGGCTGCTGCTAGTCCTGCACAGGGTCCAGCACAGCCCCCCGGGGCCCAGGGGCGGGGGGGTTACCCCTTATCTCCCAGGGCTCACCCCACAGCCCTGGGAGTTACCCCATGATCCCAGGGGACCTTCCACATCCCCTGGGTTTACCCCATTCTCCCAGGGCTCACCCCACGTCCCCAGGGGATCTCTGATACCCCACAGTTCACCCCACTCCACCAGGGAGTCGCCCCATGTCCCCAGTATGTACCCCACCTCCCCAGGGCTCTCTTATGTCCCCAGGGGTACCCCAGGGAGTTACAACCCCAGGGCTCACCCCCACATCCTTAGGGCTCACCCCATGCCCCCATGGCTCTTTCCATATCCCCAGAGGTTACTCCATGTGGCCAGTGCTCAACCCGTGCCCCAACAGTTACCCCACATCCTCAGGGCTCACCCCATATCCCCAGGGCTTACTTTGTGTTCCCAGGGTGTTCACCCCATGCCCCCAGAGGCTCACCCCACATCCCCAGGCCTCACCCCATGCCCCTAGAGGGTTGCTCCCATGTCCCATGGGGTTACCCCATAACCCAGGTGCTCACCCCATGCTCCCCGGGGGCTCACTCCACATCCCCAGGGCTCATCCTGTGTCCCCAGAGGGTTGCTTCCATGTCCCATGGGGTTACCCCATAATCCAGGGGCTCATCCTACACCCCCAAGGGCACACCCCACGTCTCCAGGACTCACCCTATCTCCCCAGGGGTTATCTCACATATCAACCTGTGTCCCTTGAGGGTTGCTCCCATGTCCCCAGGGGTTACCCCACAACCCAGGATCTCACCTCATGCCCCCAGAGGGTTGTTCCCATGTCCCCAGGGGTTACCCCATAACCCAGGAGCTCACCCCAGGCCCTCAGGGGCTCACCCCACATCCCCAAGGCTCACCCCACACCCCCAGGGCTCATCCTGTGCCCCCAGAGGGTCGCTCCCCCGTGTCCCATGGGGTTACCCCATAATCCAGGGGCTCCCCCCGCTCCCCCCCCCCCAAGGGCTCCCCCCGTGCTCTTCGGGGGCTCACCCTACGCCCCCGGAGGGTCAGCGGGGGACAGCATGCCTGTGCCGGGGCCCCCCCACGCAGGTGGCGGCGTGCGGCTGGCGAACGGGAACGGGAGCTGCCGCGGGCGGGTGGAGGTGCGGCACCGCGGTACCTGGGGCACCGTCTGCGACGACGACTGGGACTTCCCCGACGCCCAGGTGGTGTGCCGGCAGCTGGGCTGCGGCGCTGCCCTCGCCGCCACCGTCCTCGGCTCCTTCGGCTACGGCAGCGGGCCCGTCCTGCTGGATAACGTGGGCTGCGGCGGCGGCGAGGCTCGCCTGGCCGACTGCTTCCACCTGGGCTGGGGGCAACACAACTGCGGCCACCACGAGGACGCCGGGGTCATTTGCCGAGGTGAGAGCGGGAGCGAGCCCGGTGGCCACGGGCTCCCGCCTGAGGGTCTTCCCTTGCCGGCCAGGTGGGAAAGGAGGGATGGATGCGACCGCCCGGGGCTCCCCAGGTCTCTGCTGAAGCCCAGCTCGGCGGCATAGAAATTCAACAAGATAATGAGCGTAGGGAGGGTTTTGGCCATGCTCGGGCTGGCTGCAAAAAAACGGGCTCCAAGGTGAACGTGAGCCCCCAGACCCTGGGGTTCCTCCTGCCCACGGGGAGACAGCAGCGGCGGTTGGGTGCTGTGCTGTGCGGGGATGGCTGGAGTGTGGGTACCCGCCCTGGGCTCCCTTGGGGCACTGTCCTGGAAGCGCGGTGGCTGCACATCCCACCCCGCCCTGCGCATCCCTGCATCCATCCCCAGCCACCCCCGCACTGCTGCTGGGGGGGTCCTGACCTGGCCCTGGGGGGCACGGCCATCCCCTGAGTCACTTCTCCCACCCCTTCTCCACTGCGCCAGGCGCTGACAGCGCTGGAGACCGTTTCCAAGAAGCCACCGCTACGACCACCACATCAGCCCCGGCTCGTCCCAAGGACGGTACGTACCGAGGTATCGCCGGGGGACGCTCTGCACCAGCACAGGGTGGAAACGGAGGCGGCTGGGGCAGAAGCGTGCGAACCAGAACCACGGGAACCACGGGAGGGGGAAAAGCCGTGTTGGTGGCACTGTTAAGCCGTGGCCTCTCTTGGTGCACCCAAAGGCTGGTCCAGACAGAGGAGGGGATGGACCTCAGGTGATGGACCACTATGTGATGGATCTCAGTGGGGAGAGAAGGGGATGGACCAATGAGCCGGGAACAGAAATTATTGTCTGTTCCTTCAACCTGAACACTCACTGTGATACCTTGGGGGTCAGCCCCAGCTCTGATGCTGGCCAGTGGTCACCTCCTCAGGCTCCGTGGGGGAGCTGTGGGCAGCAGCAAACACCTACCCAGCTTTGGAGGGACCGGGACTCTTGTCCTGGGGCCAGCTGGCCGGGAAGGGCCCCTTCTCCACCAGCCCCAGGGCAACCAGCCCAGCGGGTACGGTGGTCCCAGGGTGGTGGCAGGCAGGGAGAGGAGGGGGTGAGGTGCTGGGGTGGGCATGGGCAGAGGTCGTCCCCCCCCCCTCCCCCGGGGCTGCTTCACCCCATCCCCTCCGCAGGGTCCCTGCGCCTGGTGAACGGCAGCCACCGGTGCGAGGGGCGCGTGGAGGTGTTCTACCTGTCGCAGTGGGGGACGGTGTGCGACGACGCCTGGGACCTGCGGGACGCCAAGGTGGTGTGCAGGCAGCTGGGCTGCGGGCACGCCGTGGGGGCCTGGGGGGAGGCACGCTACGGCCAGGGCACCGGCTACATCTTCCTCGACAACCTCAAGTGCAAGGGCCACGAGCCCTCGCTGCTGCGCTGCTCCCACATCCGCTGGGACGTCCACAACTGCGACCACTCCGAGGACGCCGGTGCTGCCTGCGGCTCCCTATGACCACCCACCCGCTGAGACCCTCGCGCAGGTACGGGGGGGACTGGGGGGGGGAGATGGTGGCAGTGCCCACGGAGAGGGGCTGAGCCTGGCTGCTGGTCAGGGACACTCACTCTCTGCCTCAGTTTCCCCACGTGCCCCACAGGGGCGCTGGCTGGGTGTTGGGGCTGAGGCTGGGAAGAGCTGGGTGAACACCGGCCTTTCCTCAGCTCCTAAAATACTGGCTGAACCTTTCCCCTCACGAACTAGCAAAACCAAAACAATTTTGGGTGTGAAATCTGGTCGGATTCAGCCATTTCATTTAAGAGATGAGGAGAGAAAAATGGATTTTCTGCTGTGAAAATGACATTGGATTATACTCAAAAAATGTAAAAAGGGGACTGAAATCAAACCAGCATACTCCACTGTCTCTGCAGAGAGCTGCTGCCATTCTGCAATTTCCTTTGCAAACCCTTCAGCAATCCAAATACCAGGTTTTTCTTCCCATTTTGGCAGAAGAAACACCAAGTCCCCATCAATTTCCATGCAGCAGAAATCTCACACCGTCTGCAACCCCATCCCACTTTGCTGTTGCCCAGTAATTCTTCCTCGTTCTCATTTCACCTCCTGTTTCTTCTGCAAAAATCCCTGGGTTTGCAGAGAGCTCAGCTGAGGTTTCCCTTCCCCAGGGGGCTTCAGCACAGCCAGTCCCTGCCCAAAACAGCCCTCGGGCTGCGGGGAAGGACCAGGCACCCCGCAATCTCCCCATCTTTCTCCATCCTGCGTGGTCTTCTCCATCCCTGCCAGCCCTGGCTGCCCGTTCCCAGGAGCTCCGTGATGCTCCGTGCTCCGAGGAGTCGGGGCAGGCAGGGAGCTGGCAGACAGGGCAGGAGCAGACGGAAAATCTTAGGGAAGACCCCAAATCCCTGCCCAGCGTGAGGGGAGGGCAGCAGTGCCGCTGGGGTAAAGGCCATTTCCCTCCCAGTTCAGGTGGAAGGACCCAGCCTGCAGCACCAGCCATCTTCGCCGTCCACTGTTTCTGATTTCTAACAGGACACCAGGAAAATGATTTCCATGTTTTCGTGGATGGGGTGCGAGGGTGGGGAAGGGCTCGTGCAGTGGCGTGGAGCAGGTCCTGGCTGCTCCCTCCGTTGCACTTGCTCCTCTATCTGTGCAATTCTTTTGTTAATAATAGGTTGTGCATATTCCTGGGTTGGTTTGTTTGTTTTTTTTTTTTTTTTTTTCCCCCTGTTTTTTCTTATATGTGTTTGGGTTTGTTTTGTGAATAAATAAAAGTCCTTTGAAAGTGTGCTGAGACCTGACTTCCTTCCCTGCCACCCCCTTGAAGCCCAGGCTGGAGCAAATGGCTGGGAACAGTCGATGCCCCAAGCCCAGAGGCAAGGACTCGGCTCTTGATGCCAAAAATTGGTGCAAATCCCTTGCTGGCCCCCGAGCAGCCCTCGATTCCCAGCTGGCTGGGAGCTGAGCTCGGACCCTTCCCCAGCTCAGCTGCGGGGGGTGCAGCCCTGACCCCTGCCAGGCTCGGGGGGGGTGAGGTTGGGCTCAGCGTTGGGTTTGTTCCCGGGGGGATTTGGCAGCCCCGCGGGCTGCGGGGTCGCTGCTGAAGCGGGCGCGTTGCTGCTGTGTGGCTGCACGGGCTCCGCAGTGCTGACGGCAGTAAATTCGGTGCCGCCTGCTAAGGGCGGCGGAGCAGGTGGGAAGAGGGTCTGTCCGGGGAGCTGCAGCCCCCCCGCTGCTGCCTGCGGGCAGAGGCTGTGGCTGCAGGGCTGGGGACCGGGAGAGAGGGCTCCCCGGTTTGGCGAGACTTTTCCACACCCCGATCTCCTGTGGCGGTGACCTGGGCAGCAGCGAGCCATGAGACGGCACATCCCAGCCGCCGGATCTCTGCGGACATCGGGGACGTGTCCCCGGGCAGCTCCCAGGCTGGTGCAAGTCCCCCCGGGCGGCCCTGGCCCCGTGCTCCAGCAGCCAGTGTCAGCCTGATTTTGGCTGCCTCTCCACCACATCCCGTGGGCAGGGCTTTCCCAGCACTTTGCTTCCAGCCCAGATTTCCAGCAGAGGGGAAACTGAGGCACGGAAGCATCTTCCACGCAAGCCATGGCAGCAGAGCTGGACGTGGGCTTGCTGGGACTCTGGGAGAGGGCAGGGAGGCAGCGTGTGGATAAAACCTCTCCTTTTACTGAGTCCTGCACACTCAGCTGCCCACCCTGCTGCCTCCTCACCCCCCCACTGCCCCCACCACCTCCCGCCTCCCCTCTGGGACAGCTGGGTGACACCTGGGCCCTGCTGCGAGCAGGAGGGGGACAGAGCTGTCCCCACCCGAGCCCCCCTGGCAGTCCACAACAGCTGGGGATGGGGCAGAGGGTCCCCGTGGCTATGGGAGGTGAGGAGGGGGCTGGTAGCCAGGAGCTGCTCTGGAGGCTGCTGCCTCTTGGGGTGTTGCGGGGAGGATGATGAGAAAGGTTGGCTCTGGGTTTCCCCTGTTTCCCTCGGGGGCTGTGCCTCGAGCCAGCAAAGGTGGGCTGGTTTGTGGTGTTACCCCACACCCTGCTCCTCTTTGCTTCAGGCTGGGAAGAGCAGGCCCTGCTCTCCCCCAGCTTCTCCCTTCTACAGCCTGCAATCCGGCAAGCAAAGGGTTTCCATCTGGGAGAGGCAGCAGCCTCCTCCCTTGTCTTCCAGCCTTTCCTCCCACAGCCAGCTTGGGATGTGCTGGGATCCACGGGGATCCCCCCAGACACCCCAGGCCCAAGCTGGGCATCGTCTGCAGGGGAGGGGGGGTGACAGGCAGGGAGAGAGCAGGGTACCAGCCCGGGGGACACCCCAGCCCTGGAGCAGGGCACCAGTATGGGGGACACCCCAGCTCTGGAGCAGGGTACCAGCCCGGGGGACACCCCAGCTCTGGAGCAGGGCACCAGTATGGGGGACACCCCAGCCCTGGAGCAGGGTACCAGCCCGGGGGACACCCCAGCTCTGGAGCAGGGCACCAGTATGGGGAACACCCCAGCCCTGGAGCAGGGTACCAGTATGGGGGACACCCCAGCTCTGGAGCAGGGCACCAGTATGGGGGACACCCCAGCCCTGGAGCAGGGCACCAGTATGGGGGACACCCCAGCCCTGGAGCAGGGTACCAGCCCGGGGGACACCCCAGCTCTGGAGCAGGGCACCAGTATGGGGGACACCCCAGCCCTGGAGCAGGGTACCAGCCCGGGGGACACCCCAGCCCTGGAGCAGGGTACCAGTATGGGGGACACCCCAGCTCTGGAGCAGGGTACCAGTATGGGGGACACCCCAGCTCTGGAGCAGGGCATGAGCATGGGGGGATGTCCTGGCCCCGGAGCAGGGTACCAGCACGGGGGATGCCAGCAGCGCGAGAGCATCCCGCCGCGGGACCACAGCCAGGCTGCGGCGGCTGCGTGGGAGCCGGGAGAAGCCGCGGTGTCTGCCTGGCTCTTCTCCTGCCGACGTCAGCTGTTTCCCCGCGCCTGGAGCAGCTGCAGCTCCACACCAGTCGATGCCATCGATTAGTTCCTCTCCCCATCCCTGGAGAGGGGATGGTGCGGGGGGTGGCAGAGGGGAGAGAATAAATATTTCAGCAGGTCCAGGCAAAAGCTGGGGTTATTTTGGGGCTGGGATTTATGGGCTATTAGGAATAAGGAATGAGTCTGTGCTGGGGAGAGGAGACCCATTAATCCAGGCTGAAGGAGCACAAATGAGCAAGGGGAAATGGAGGAGGCTTTAATTATTTCACGGTGTTCCAGAATAATAAGCCAGCCCTCCGGCTGAGTGCCGGTGTGGGACTTGGGAGCTCTGCTCCCTGAGGAATGGGGCAGGCGAGGGGGCAGACATGGTTAAATCCCCCCCAGATCTGCTGGGAAGGATGGAGGTCTCATTCTGGGACCAGTATGGGACCAGTACAAGCGGTGTTGCTGGCTGGAATGTGGTGTGGAGGCTGCGCTGCTTGTTGGGGGGAGGCTGCGGTGTGTGGGGATGGCTGGAGGGGCCCGTGGGCCGGTGCCCGGTCCCAGGGGTGCCCTTCCCGGGCCGGGCCAGCCCGGCCACCCAGTGTGTCCCATTAAGGCAATCCCATCTGCGCCTGTAACCGGAGGAGCTGGGCACCAGCACAGGGGTGAGTCACTGCTGGAGGCAGCCCTGGCCCGGGGAGCATCCCTGGCTCTGCTGTGCCCAGCACCACCTGGGTGACCTTGTGCTGTGCTCCATCGCTGTGCACACACACACACACACCCCCCCAATCTCCCCGTTGCCTCTGCATCCCCCCTCCACTGTGCCTCAGTTTCCCCGGGAGCACCTGGGGCGGTGGCCCTGGCTCACCCCTTGGCACCCTCGGGGAGGTGCAGGAACCCGGCTGCCCTCACTGGGGTTACACCTTACCCCACAGGGGCACTGAGGGGCAGATTTACCCCCCCACCAGTTTGCCCCATCCCCTGGGGCAGGGACACCCTTGGACCGCGTCCTTCTCCGATGGGACGGATGAGGAGCAGGTCTCCCTGGAGCATCCCTGCTGCACAGCAAGCTTTGCTCCCTCAGGAGCGGGGCCCAGGGTGCCAAGGTCACCCCGGCGGGACCACGGTGGGGTGCAGGAGCCGTTCACCGCACCCCACGCCGGGCAGCGTCCTCCTTCCCCGCTCCTGCTGGGCCTGCCGCCGCGGCTCCCGCTGACGTCACCCCGACAGAGCCAGGAGCTATTTTGGGAACTGCAAAGTCACTGGCGCAATTAGTCCGCTGGCAAAGGGAGCGGGGCGGCGGGGGGGACCGTGAGGCCGGCTGCTCTCCGTGCCGGGGGGCTGCGTGGCCGTGGCCCACAGGCACCGGCACTCTGTGCCTCAGGCTCAAGGGCTCCCACTGCCAGGGTAAACGGCCACGGCTGCAAATCCTCCCATCCATCATCTCATCCTCTCTGCCTTTTTTTTTTTTTTTTTTTTTTTTTTTAATTTTGTTTCGTTCCCCTGGCAGGAGCCACCCCACGTGGGCTGCCAAACGCTGGCAAAAGCCAGCTCGCTGCCGCCTCGCTGCCATCGCTTGCATTTAGAAAGAGGCAGAAAAGCAATTAACTGGCAGCGATGCCAGCAACGTGCTTCCCATGGCAATGCCACTGGAGAACCCCACGGGCGAGGGGCTGCCTGGGTGGGAGCGGGGGTCCGGCCCTGCCTGGGCGCTCTGCCTCCGGCTGTGCCTCTGGTTTAATCCAGTTGACATCTTTTCGGATGCAGCCACTGGGGTGCAGGATGGGTGCTCCCGGCTGCACAGCCCCATTGTCCCCCATCCTGGGATGGGGACACGCCTTGTGCTGCTGTCACAGCAGAGGGGCACAGCACAAGTGGACAGTGGAGTCCTGCCCTGCAAGTGCCTTCGTGCCTGGGGACGTGGGGACAGTTAGAGGGGGCAGCTAGGGTGCTCAGCCCTCCTCCCCCAGTGCTGGCTGCTTCCTCTGGCCACCCTCCTCGCCTCCCAGTCACCTCCAGGTCATGGCCAGAGTGGACACGCACAGAATTGCTGCGAGAAGCTGATTCTGGCAGGCTCCAAACACCCCGAAAGTGGGGATCAAAAAGCCCTTTTAAAAATCCTGAGATTTTCCCATGTGACCCCGGCATCTCTTTCAGTCCCATCCCCTAGGGCAAAAAAACCCAAATCCTTTCTCCCAACGCCTGGGGAGGTGCCGCAGCAGGAGTTGGCGCTCAGCTCCCCAAACCTTGAGCCGGGGCTTTGGGCAGGCAGACCCCCAGGGCTGGACCCAGCACGCTGCCCGTGCCCTGCCCAAGGACACGGTGGGGGTGCCTGGGGGCAGGCAGGCTGACACCCCCCGCTCCCCATCACTTGGAACCCCAACTTTGCCATGGAGCTGGAGGGGGGGGGGATGTCTCTGCCTGTGCTGAGGCTGGAGGAGCAGCCGGTGGTCCTGGGGAGGGGGGGGGGATGGGGCTGGGTGGGAACAGGGGTGCAGGGGGTGGCTCTGGGGGTGACGGGGGCTATGGGGGGGTGGGGGGGGTGTAGGGCATTGGCAAGGTGGGGATCGTGTGCCCCCCCACCCCCGGGGCTGGGGGAAG